GTGGAAATTATACGTAGTTCTTCTACTTATGGTGGGTTCATGTGTTCGTTTGATATCTGCTCCCTGTTTACATGTGTTCCCCTGTCTGAAACTATTGAGATGTGTTGCGATATATTGTATCGTACCTCTTTGTCTCCTCCGGATTTTCCTGAGGTAATTTTTGTTGAGCTTATGATTTTCGCCACCGCGTCTGTCGAATTTAGCTTTGATAATGTTATGTATCGACAGATCGACGGGGTAGCTATGGGTTCGCCTTTGGGTCCAGCGTTGGCGAATATTTTTGTCGGTTTTCACGAGGCTTCCTTATTTATTTGCATTCGTCGTCCTCTTATGTATCATCGTTATGTGAATGATACCTTCTGCTTCTTTAATAATGAGGCTGAAGCCGACAAATTTCTCACCAAATTAAACTCTGTCCATCTTGCTCTTAAGTTCACCGTAGAGAAGGAGTCTAATTCTTGTTTTTCCTTTTTGGATGTTTTTGTCCATAAGATTGCTGACAAGTTTGAGACTTCTGTATTTAGGAAGGCCACTTTTTCGGGACTTTACACGCGTTGGGACTCTTTTTGTCTCAGACAACGTAAGATTAATTTAATTAAGTCCTTAATTCACAGGGCACTTAAGTTATGTTCTGAAGATTTTCTCTGCGGGGAAATTGACTTTGTTAGAATGACATTATCAAAAAACGGATATCCGTTGGATGTTTTAGACTCCGTTATTCAAGATGTCATCAGTAAATTCTTTAGGGTGAAGCCGCATTTAGCTGATAAATGCCCAGTTTATTTGCGTCTTCCCTATATTGATACAGAGGGTGAGAGTTTATCGAAACGTATTTCACGTTTAATCAATAATTGTTATTTTTCGGCAAATGTTAGGGTAATATTAGGTACCCGTCCTGCTTTCTCTTCTATTTGTAAGGATGTCCTACCTCCCTGTCATGTTAATTCAGTGATTTACCAATACAAGTGGAGTTGTGGACATGACTACATAGGTAGGACGTCCCAGCGTTTGGATTCGAGAATTAAACAGCATTTACCCTCTAGGATTTTTAATCCGTCCTCTAGGAATAGCCAATTGACTAACAGTTCTGGTTCTACCATTGCTGAACATTTGATAAATAGAAGGGAATGTGTGGAAAATTTTAGTCGTGACCGATTTACTATTTTATCGAGGTCCCACTCCACATTTCACCTCAAGGTCCTGGAGTCCTTCTTTATCAGATCTCGTGAGCCTTCCCTTTGTAAACAGAGGGAATGCTTGCTGGGTCTGAATATTATTGGACTCTAGTCCCTTGAAATTCATTTTTTTTTCTCTCTCTCTCTCTCTCCGTTTAATTACATTCGTTAATTAAAATTAATTTACACGCTTTTAAATTCCCAGAATAAATAACTTGATAAGTCCTGGGACGAAACCGGTTTTATTTTGACTTTTGCTTTTAAAATGGCTTTTTTGATTCCCACTAAATCAAGATATGACACAAGGTCGATTAACGTGGGAGACCATTTTCCCTCATGTACCACAAAATATTGGTCAGAGCTTGTCCAAGCTGGTCAGAGCCTAAAGCTGGTCATAACTTGAACAGGTCCAAAAGGCCGGGCAGTATAATAAATTCCCAGAATAAATAACTTGATAAGTCCTGGGACGAAACCGGTTTTATTTTGACTTTTGCTTTAAAAATGGCTTTTTTCTTTTTTTCTTATCTATATATATATTTGACTATATATATATATATATATATATAGGTGTAACAACAAAATTGTCCAAATCATGTGACACAAAATGTTTAACATCTAGAAAACCTCTAAACTAAATGAATTTCTTTTTTTCCAGGTTTTTGTTTAAGATGTTTAACCATCTAGAAACCATTTTCATAAGAATCACTGAGAAACACTTCTAGTTATTTAGCTAAAAAGAGACTAGGTCAAATTTCTTTGTGTCAGATCCACTGATTTCCATTTGATCAATGGTGAGCGAAAAAAAAGATCATTCAGGCTTTCAGTAATCGTACCAACATTCATCCTCTTGTTTCCATTTTCAAAGTTCATTCAATAACAATCAAGAGAACGGCGAATAATTAAAAAAAAGGAACTATAGAGAGGAAAAACTGGATCAGGAAGTCAAAACAGGAAGAGGGATCTTCATTTGAAATTAGAGCTAAATATATCAATTAGAAAAGATCCAACTTAATTCATAGGAGGTTTGGCACATGAGAGAAACTTTCCAGCTATGACAGTCTACAGAGCAATTAAAAAAGTCTTGAAAATGAAATCGTACGTGAAACATTTGAGGCAAGTTGTTACTCCAGTACGGAATGTTAGAAGGTAAGAGAAAGCGAATATCATCTTGAATAAGTTTGAAAATGATCCAGTAATAATATATATATATATATATATATATATATATATATATATATATATATATATATATATATATTTATTTCAATATTTAGGCGCTTGCTATGTTTAATTAATGATGAATATGTCGTTTTTTCCTTTATGATCGATTTCTTCGCGATATTTCTGTGAAGCCTAGGAGAGTAATTCTATATTCTCATTGCTAGTGTTAGAAAACGTCGGAGAATTCCAGTACGATACCTTTAATCATTTTTCATATATATATATATATATATATATATATATATATATATATATATATATATATATAAAGTGTTATAGGAGATGATAATACACACGAAGCTCAGATTAAATATACTTTTTTTTTAATAAGATCTATATTATTGTATTCACTGATTATAGTTCAGGACAATATCGATTACGCAGTTTCACACGCCCATAAAATTTATTGTGTTCATTTTCCTGCCTTCAAATTTATTCCAATCATTTTGTTTGCATATGAGTAGGCCTAACCTCTGGATGGCTATTGATTTTCATCTTCTAATACCTGATAAGTGTGAGAACATGTTCATATTAGCCGTTATTTTTGTAGACTGCAGGCATCAAACTGGCCTAGTGTGTTACAGTATCGACTAATCTATTTTCCACTTCGTGGTATATAGAAATCTAACCCAAAGCGTAATCCAGGTTTTATTCTAGACCAGCTTTTCTCAACCGGGTTTTCCCGGAACACTAATGTTTCCAAAAAGTTCCCCAAGTGGTCCGGGAGAAACAGGCGAGATGAGCTAATGCAGATTTGCCTTTTTATTTAATTTTATATATGTAATATTACTTAACACACAATATATTCTTGGTTATTGATTCATTTTCTTAGCCCATTTATTGATTCACAGGACATTTTTGATTTACCTTACGTCTTTTCAACATTGCCAGTAAACGAGAAAAATAAGTCGATGTAGCAGTTATCTGTTTTACTTCTGTTTATATTTATATTATAGGTATATGATATCTGTTACTTCAGTTTATTTTTCACGTCTGAATTTAGAATTTTTTGTGTGAATGAAAACTCGCTGATGAAGTGTCATAAACGAACAGTATGAATTTTATTTAGCATTACCGAAAGATTTGACAAAGAAATATTATTTTTTCCTTAAACAAGTCATTCAAAAAGAGATACTAGATAATTAACACGTGAACTACAATGAAAATAAAATGAGAAAGATATGGTATATAAATTTGTTTTTGTGCAGGAGTTCCTTGAGACATGTAATTTATTTTAAGGGTTACGTAAGGGTAAAAAGGTTGATAAACGCTGTTCTTGACTGAGATAAACTATACCCCTGTATATTCTGGGAGAAGATTAATCTGAGAAGCTACAATAGTGTGAAAACTCATCAATACAGGAACCTAATGGCAGAAAATAAGGCAGCGAGTGCAACAAGAGACTTTCAGTGTCTATACAATTCTAGACCCTGCGCCTCTAGAGTAGCATTTCGGTGTTTTATACGAATTCCCAATTGAATCCATAAGGAAGTACTGCCTTGACCCGAAAGACAATTGTTAAAATCATTATTATTAGCCCTTAATACTTTTTTAACGAGTAATATCAGCTAATTTAGAATTGTACTAATTCCCCATATTTGAGTATTAATTACATCAACTGTTTTAATGTGAGATTAGAAGAAGTAAACAAAATATGATTGATAATTCCATGTTATTTTACGTTCTCTGTAATTTTAGGATTTTGATTCTACATTGCTTCATAATTTATAAAAGAGGAAAAAAAAGCTTTTCTTTCTTTATTTTCAGTATCAAAATAACTTGATTTTTCCTCAAGCAGTTCTTCAATACAATCATCAATCTTGAGTAGCAAACTATATTTTTAGACAGCTAAACCCGAGCTGTACTAGTTTGGCAGACAGTATTCAACATCAGGATGTCCGTACGTAAATAACTTTTGTTAGAAAACAATAGCAGAAGATTAACTTAAAACTCAAAGTAGAAAAATGAAAAAAGAATCGTGAAAACAAACTTAATGGTATTTTAATGACAAAACCTCAATTATAACAAGATAATAAAAATAACAAGAATACGACTACTAATTATCTTATTGACCCTTATTAAAGGTTGACAATGAGTGTAACAGGTTACAGGGTCTACTAGACAGTAAGGATATTTATATATAGGATGTATATTCGCTCTAGAAAAGATAAATTGCTTATTTATGAATTTTTCTGTCTGTCAGTGTCGTTAGCTATAGAATATTTCAGACACATTTGTGCTTTTTCAACACTGAAAGAGCCGACTATACTCAGCGGCCATGATTTCTAAGGACAAAGCATACAAGACGAGTGTCCTCAGACTCTTGGGGACTGTGTCTTATCTATAAATTCAGAAGAAAATGCACCAAAAGAATAATTTAAAAATTATTTTCCTAAAGAAATAAATAAAAGCAAAGTGCTAGATTGTGTATAAGCAAGCAAGTAAAGTAATGACTGGTCTGCTGGTTTCTGTGTATGAAAGTCTGCTAGGCTGACAAGCTAATCCCTACTGAAGACACCATATTCACGCATATTTTTGCTTCATCAATAACTGCAGCGTTAACAGAGCTTGGAATGCAACTTTTGCTGAGTGGACCTTAGTTACCTTATTGGAGAGATAGATAAATAGATAAATAGATAGATAGATAGATAGATAGATAGATAGAGAGAGAGCATTAGCTGGTGTGAACAAAACCAGTATGCTCAAAGTCTCAGTCACGTGACAGGCGATATTGCCGTAGCAGAAGTAACTACACAACTTCACTCGCAAAGCGTGGGTCAAACCGTTGCATCCTTTTCAGGCAATAATCAACGATGATATCTACTTTGTTCGAACCCTCCCCACCTCCAGGTCGATATTATCAAGAAAACATCTTCTTCACAAATCGACTATGGTGAAATTCGAAACCATGTCTCGTGGTCATATTGCAAACATTGTATTCACTCGGTCAAGTACGAAGTACCCAGTTTTCGATCAAGTTTCTACTCACCGTGTCTCTTCTCTATCTACCTTCATGAATTGCAATGAATACTTTGTCAATATATCAGATGATAAATAGCGCGGGGCGAGGTGGATTCAGGACTTTGACAATGTGGAATTTAAAAGCTCTAAACACATCTCGATGTATGGATCTTTTATGACAAATTTAATGACGAAGTTGAGGTCATTAATTATATAAATAGGCTATGCTAAGGTTATTTTCGCCCAACACAGCACAATGCTACAAAAACAAAGGATTGACCTAAGAACTTCAGCCACGTTCTTAAACAGTCTTCTCAGATTTAAGCCACGTTCTTAAAAAGTCTGCTCAGATTTGTGCTCTGTCCCTGTCATCAAACTGATGCTGAAATGTCTAAACTATCAGCAATATACAACCGCTTTGGTTAATTAATGATTAAAGTGGTTAAAGTGAATGTACTTTACCGGCCTTAAAGATTACTGTCATTTCTTTGGATCTCGTAGGCTAGTGCTACAGAGTCATGAAATTAATCAAAGAAGAAAAACAACGGCACTTGAAACATTTCAAAAATTAAAGTTCGAAATTCTTAGGAATCTTGAATAAATTGTGAAGATATCAGAATATTCGAGAACATATATTGTGAACACACCGTCTACGTACGGATAAAAACAAAATCAGTACATACACAAAATAGAATCTGCCGTAAGATAAGAGTGTTTTTTTTTTCTCTCCGGAATTATTCAACCTTTACTGTGATGTTATCGTAAGAGAATTAAAAGTCATACTAGAATTCATTATCGGCGTGCACACTCCAAACGATACAGTGTTTTTGCAGACACAAAAAGGAAACTAGAGAAACTTAAAAAGAAGAAAGGACTAAATCTCAATTGCAAAAAACAATATGTTTGTCAGCAACAGGAACGGCTCAATATGCAAAAAAAAAAATAAAAATAGGAAACAATAAAATCAAGCAAGTGCAAAAATGTAAATATCTAGAATGTGTTTTAAAATGGGACGTGAAAGGCAGCACTGACATCAACACTACAGAACCCCGAAAGCAACAGAAATGTGGTTATACGAAAATCATACTGTGAATTCCATGGACAGATCATCTGAGTAACGAGAAAGATTTGAGAAAAATGAAACAAAAAAAAAAAAAAAAAAAATGAACACTTACGTTTAGAATCATAAAGAGACAATTCTAGAGCAACTAATGAGCAAATAGGGATAGAGAATTTGACACTCAGTTTATTTATTGTAAGCTAGACAGACAGAGGAAAGCTGCGAATAATGTACCTAATAAGTTTGTATAAATTATTAGTAGAATATCCTGACGAGACAAGGAGAATAGAATAATAACAACATATGAACGAATAGCGTTTCAGCCGTTTTACGCTCCGGCCTTTTATCAGTTGGTTGGAATGTCGAACTGAACCCTTTATTTCGCTCACTGGGGTAGACTGTTCTAGTTCAACGTGCCATGTCTAATGGATGTCAGTTATCAGTTATCTCTTGTTAATTCCCCTCTCCAAGTTCTCCACCGCCAGGCATTGAACTCACACACTTTGGATCCTGTCACTGGATCTAACTAACGCCTTTAACCACTGTGCCATGTCTCCTTGAGAACATCTGTGTATGAATTTCTGGGTAGTATAACAGCAATAGCAATATGAGCACTGCCAAAAAAATGGTTGTTGAAGACATTAGGTTTATAATAGTGTGTGAGTTCAATGCCTGGTTAAGGCGGTGGAGAACTTGGAGAGGGGAATTAACAAGAGATAACTGATAACTGACATCCACTATACATGGCACGTGGAACTAGAACAGTCTATTCCAGTGAGCGAAGTAAAGGATTCAGTTCGATATTCAAACCACCTGAATAAGGCCGGAGCGTACAACGACCGAAACGTTGTGATAAATATGGCGACAAATATTCGGACAATAGCCCAGAATAATGTAAATAGTGTACATAGTACCTTATCTCAAAAATATAGACAAATGTCAAAATAAAAAACACATGTAATTGGAAGCAAAAATAATGGCATAATCATATATATTGATATTGTTCACGAAATGAAATAAAAGGTTAGAAATCGAGACATCTTGAAAAAACTATTTTCATTAAAACAGTTTTAAGAGAATTTGGTAAATTTCAATCTATATTAATGCGAATTTGTTAAATGAATGCCGAATATTTCCTTGTAGGGAAACGCTTAATTTTAGTTGTATTCTTACCGGGAGATCAGAAATCATTCATGCCGATTGGCCAGTTGGTAATTTGTTGAATCACACACACACACACACACACACATATATATATATATATATATATATATATATATATATATATATTATTCTTGGCATGAAGTCAAAGATGTTCTCATAGCACTCATTCAAAATTTGGACACATGCTGTTAATGCGTCACCCCCCAGCTCTTCTAGATGAGTTGGCTTCACATCCAGGATGCGAATCTCCTTTTCCATCGCAACCCAAATAATTAAATACGGTTGGAGAATTTGACACTCACAGCACATAGTGAAAGCGAGGGAGAGAAAGGAAATCAGCGAATAAGGTACCTAATGAGTTTGTATAAATTATTGGTAGAACGGGGATTATGTGGTGATATCAAAAACGACTGGTCTTAGAGATACAAATTGTCTGTGGAGGCGACTTTAATACAGAAAACTCATTACTCTGTACAGAAAATAAATATACACTATTCAATAGGTAATCAGTGTCTAGGTCGGTTGCCGCCTTTAAACGATAATTTATTGCTACTACATATTACAATGCATGCCAAGAAAAAAATTCGCCCCCTTTTTGCAGCATCGCAACTCGGCTGAAATTTTGTTAAAAGGTAGGATTGATCCGTACTCTCTTGTTGTTCATGCCAAATTTTGGTCCTATCATTCGATTGTCCAGCAGAATTCGAGCCATAAAAACAATTTTTCCAGTCGTCTATTGTTCAATTTTTGGAACACCTTAATTGTAACTTCAGCTTATTTGTTCTTCTGGGAAGCATGACATCCGGCCTGGTATTTTTTTCTGCTGTAGCGTAGTTCGGTAATGGTTCAACGCGTTGTGCATTCAACGATACTCTTTGGAATATCTCTATTGTTAAGACTGGTTATTTGAGCTACTGTTGCATTTCTTTCAACTTGATCAAGATTAGACAATTTACTAGGACCTCTGTTATACACAATTGATCTCCGCCCAGAGAATTGCCGCTCAGTGGATTTCTTTTCTTTTTTTTTTTTTTTTTGAACATACGCTCTAAACTTAGAAGTGTTTACGCATAAAAATCATAGTATGTCAACAGTTATTTTTTAATATTCAATTCTGTTCGCCTGACATTAACGACAATACTGCATTAAAAGTTATTTAAAATACATTTCCTTGCATACTATGTTGTGAACTAAAATTCCGGACCTCTCTATAAGCATGCATATATGCCCATATCCATAGATTTCCTTTCAGTTTTGGGTGATTGGATATTTGCATAAATGTCAGTTTTTCCCATTCACTTGACATAGTGGGGATTTTGTGTGTGTGTGCATATATATATATATATATATATATATATATATATATGTGTGTGTGTGTGTGTGTGTGTGCGTCTGCCTGTGTGTGTGCACACGCTCGCGTTATATTATTATTATTTTAAATGTTATAGGGAATACTATTTGCAATAATATAATGGATAAAAATTATAATTATTAAAATATATATGTATGTGTGTGTTTCTTTTTGTGTGTGTCTTTATGGGTGTGTGTGTCTTTATGGGTGTGTGTGTTATGTATTATTATTTTAAATGCTATTATAGTGAATACTATTTGCAATAATAAAAATATCGGATTAAAATTATATATATATATATATATATATATATAAAAACTCTTGTATTAGAATTTGAAACTAAATTCAAATTTAACATTCTTCTTTTATTCATGATGTAAATTAACAAAATGATCTGGTATAACATTGGATAATTGGATTTGATCTACCATTAATCTGTATATAATTAAAAAATACTTATTTCAATTAATTTTTAACGCTAGTTTTATTATTTTTGCAAAAGTGTATAATAAAATACAATAATCCCCAACGTAAAAAATATCTATATAAAGAAATAATCATCAAAAAATTAAACAAAATATTTACTTTTTTATCATTAGAAAAATACATGAAAATTCTACGGTTTTCATATTTAAAAATTTTTTGAATCTTAATTCTTAATACTTATATTAATGAGTGAATAACCTCGTGGTGATTTCTACGACAATAAAATATCCATAGAAATTTTCCTTGTGCCGCCTTAGATATTTGAACTTAACAACATCAACATATATTTCAATAACAATCTTAAATAGGAATGCTGGTCATTATTTTAAGAAGTGGGTAGAAATGAAAAGATTTGAAATTGACATTTTTTTCCCATTTCACTGAAACAGCTCTTAAATAATTCTATTTTCCCTTTTTTATTTTTTTATTTCTTTCGTCTTCTCTCTGAAACAAATTAGTGTATTTTCGCTCTTTCCACGCTATCAAAACGGAATAGTCCATTATTTATGTGATATTGGCAGGAGATGCTCAGCGTTTTAATCTCCCTTATTTCTTTCTAGGGAAATGAACACTTCTCTTAATAATAATGTAGAAATAATTCCGCATAATTTATTATGGCAACTTGTTTTGGGGGGATTTTCTAACTTGGTTTTTAT